AATTTTTTTTATAGGAAGGTCTGAATAGTATCAGAGTAGAATAAACTGTAAAAGAAAAGTATATCTATGTGTTTTTGATAAGTTGATAAAAGAATAATCTTTTGACACAGCGGTTGATTGTCTTTGAAGAAGCAATCAAATCAATTAGACGAAATTAATGTAAATATATTCTGAAACGCTACCTAAGATTAAAGCATTTTCTGGCCATGAATCTGACGACATACTGATCGTTGCTATCGATACATAAAATGATACTGATAGAAAAATATTTTGTTAGGAGAGAATCAACCTTCGCATGGCATGCGAAGGTTGGTTCTCCCCTAACAAAATTTGCTTAGTTTAGTTTGTTTAGTTGTTTCTATGCTGGTAAAAAGACGTATATAGTTTCATGATCGTAAAAGGAATTAATAGGCAAATTCTTCAAATTAATATCACGAAATAATGCTGTCGTTTCTTCTTCATTCAGTAATATGTGCGCTTGCTGGAATTTTTTTCTAATCATCTGTTCTGTCGAATTGTGGTGTTTGTTTGTAGATCTGAAGTAGTCCGTCGTCGTTAAGTCATTATATTTTTCAGCACCTTGAAGATTAAAACAGGATAGTTCATCATCTTCATCCAGTTCTTGAAATTCATGCATGTGATCACTTAGCACATGCATGTATGGTGTAATGTACGCATCTCCAAATACATCACCAAACTGTTTAACCCATTCTATGGAATATTTTTTTAATTTCGTAAAATATATGTCATTTGATTGACGTTTACCATATAATTTTATAAGCTGATGAAAATGCGTAATTAAATACATTATTTCAAATGTTTGTGTTGGTATATCATACAGAATTCTTCCTAAAGGTATTTCATTAAAAAACTTCCTCTGCATCCCATTTGTAATTCTGCCTGTTGTTGTTAAATTGCCATCTTTAACTTGAAATTTAATATAAGCCTACAAATAAAAAAATGTTATAATCACTACTAGAAGCTATTATATCTTGCTGAGAATCATGTCTTTTATCTAAGTCGGCGATATAAATTTTCTCTGATCATATCAAAGGATGAGCCGCAAAGTTTACGGTAAAAATATCGTTTACTTGTACGATATTTATTACTTTTACTTTCATATATAAAGTAGAAATTTACTCGACGTATAACGAAGAACTTGAAGCAAAAGATGTTGATCAGTAATTTAGATTCATGTTCGTAAACTACTGTCAGCATCCCAAGCCAATCAGTTCATCAGAGAAACTAATTCTGAAAAAAATATATTTGATAAAGCT